CATGCATATTCATGAGGTAATGTAAATCAAACAATCTCATGCATATTCATGAGGTAATATCAACAATTCCATGCATATTCATGAGGTAATATAAATCAAACAATCTCATGCATATTCATGAGGTAATGTAAATCAATCTCATGTATATTCATGAGGTAATGTAAATCAATCTCATGCATATTCATGAGGTAATGTAAATCAAATAATCTCATGCATATTCATCAGGTAATATGAATCAAACAATCTCATGCATATTCATGAGGTAATGTAAATCAAATAATCTCATGCATATTCATCTGGTAATATGAATCAAACAATATGCATATTCATGAGGTTATATAAATCAAACAATCTCATGCATATTCATCAGGTAATATGAATCGAACAATCTTGTGCATATTCATGTGGTAATATAAATAAAACAATCTCATGCATATTCATGAGGTAATGTAAATCAAACAATCTCATGCATATTCATGAGGTAATATCAATCATCCCATGCATATTCATGAGGTAATATAAATCAAACAATCTCATGCATATTCATGAGGTAATGTAAATCAATCTCATGCATATTCATCAGGTAATATGAATCAAACAATCTCGTGCATATTCATGAGGTAATATAAATCAAACTTGTGCCTATTGATGAGTTGATATGAATGTAACTCAGTCAATGATTCTCTTTTACTGTTTTTTCTTGCAGTGTTATTTTAAGAATTATATGTTGTGTACTAGGAATTGTAGTAACAACAGACAATTCTGAAAACCGAAAAAAGGATGTAAGAGTTCTAGTTACTAACCATGTTTCGCCATTGGACCACTTGGCTGTTGATTTAGTGTATCCGTCAATCATGGTATGTCCTTGCTTTCCTACAATGTCATTATAGCAGTATTATAAAAATTATAATTTCATCTTTTAGCCTTTTGAATGCCAAATTTAGTTTTTCACAAAAAAAATTTGCATTAAGTGGACCATCATTAGATATATATAAGTATACTTTTGTTTTTATGAGATTCTACAGTGCTTGTTAGCCTTCGCAGACGAGGTCTGCCGAAGGCTTATAGATTGGGTTCTGTCCGTTCGTTCGTCCGTCTTTTACCTCTTATAACTTTGATATGCTGTGTCCAATTTTTTTCCAAATTGGTGCAAATGTATATCTCAATGCCATACATATGCACGCCAAGTATTTTTATGATTCGCCAAAGTTTCATTGTGTTTTTCTGTGATTTTCAACATTTTACTAGTACAAATGCCGAAATTTGCCGGAAAAATCCTAGTTTTAACGACATCTCGCAAGAGAACTGGCATACCGTATTGCGCATGCGCCAGTCCAACCGCTGAGGAAATCGGCAGCGATTTCGTCTGAGGATATTGTATTTCGGGACTGTATCTTTCTTTGCACAAGGCTTATATAGATTAAATTCTATCTCAAAGGTAAGAAACTGTGCTTATGGTATTTATTATGAACTGTGATTTATCTTTTGTGTCCTGACTTTAGTGAGAAACGAGCGATCGCAGTGTCACATTTTGCCAGAAAAACAGTCCTGCTATTAGTTCAAGAACTGGTTATGAAACGTGTAAATCGAAAGTCTATCTCGTCATTTAAGAGGCTTGGGAATAACGTTTGGCATATAAAATACTGGAATAATAAAAACGTAAAAGTTTAGAACACGCTGATCGTGATTCTGTTATGTACGATTGCTATTTCCGGTGTTCATTGGCAACTGTAGCAGATTGAAACTTGGTTTCGTGACGACACATGAGACTAGAATTATCGAGAAAACACAAGTCAAGTTCGGCCAACCGTGACTGCTTGAAAGCAATGATGAAATTGAAAAGTACTGTAATTCAATATCAATGAATCTATCATCACTTTTAAATTACCTTTGAAGTAAATATGATACCCGAGTGCGTTATTGCACTCGTCACCGGGGACCTCCATGCGGTGTTGGAAGTTTATCGGTAAATCGAACCTCTGTCAACAGAGATACATTTTCCCAATCAGCTATTTATTTCGGTACTGAAGTCAGGGTGGGGCACAGATCTAGAAGCAGTACCTACACACGAATTGGTGACGTCATAAAATACATGACCTTCAATCGGGGTCGTTTCCTCGGTATATACGAATTGGTATATACAAATTACAATAAAGATACTTAAGACATTACACATAAGGTAAAACAAATCATGTGACAATATAATGATAATAACGGTAATAAATCCTAGCTTAAC